GAAATGATCTAAAAATGTTAAGTACTCAATTTTGTCAACATCTATTTGAAAAAGTTACAACAGGAAAAAAAATATGTTAGGTAGTAGATAAACTTTGTTGAAAGGAAAAATTCAGGGGTAATCAACATGTCTGCATGCTCAAAATTGTCTTTTCTTACAGTTAATGATACTGAAACAATAATAAACATTTTAATTAATAAACTCTCTCTCAAATTTATCTTATTTCCACTACCTAAATAAAAAATATATAGTGTTTCAGAGAAATGAAAATATACTGAGATGGTCTACAGGCTTTAAAAAGACAGGCATTTGAATGATTTAATGACATTATGTTTTGTAAAGCATATATCTGCCATTGGTAAAAGCTTTTTTTCAGTGTTGATCTGATTTGTTGTTTTAAATAATTTAAGAGAGACTTTTACTGCACATAGTCACATCTGTTAATGTTGGTTGATCGTCAGTAAATTTAGAGGAGTCACTTGCACTGAGGAAGTCTTGAGTTTGCTATTCCTGAACTTCAGGGATTGTGTCCTTTGAGTTAATTCCCAAAAGGGGTTAAGCAAGACAGTTTCTAACAAATCAAATGGCAAATTGGTATTCTCAACTGGCCTGTACAAACGATGACAAGTCGCACACATACACGCCCACAAGAAGTAAATGCAAGAGCAATTACCATTCAGATGAATACTATTTTAAGTATGTATGCAGACTCATGTTCAACAAAATTGAAAGAAAATAAGAGAAAACCTAAACACAGACAGGCAAAAGAAAAAAAGAATAAACATAGACAAGCAAAAGAAAAAATAGATAGCAATAAATAATTCAAAGTAGATATCTTGGTAGAATAAACTAATTCCACACAGCAAGAGTATGTCACATCTGCTGACAAGAATTGCAAAGAAGTAACCCCTAAAACATATTAGATTGCAGAGCAGCTATGCAACCAAGAGAGTGTTCACGATGGTGAACAGGATACAGAGAGTTCCACTGAGATCTTTACAAGTAGGTGCTTGTGATGGGAGAATCTCACAAACTTCAGGAAGAACCAGTCAAAAGCAGTGCTTTGATAGTGATCTGACCCAAATCAGCCCCTATGACCGATGAGCATTTAAAAGAAAATCTTTCAAAAGTATATACTTCAAATTCCATGTCTTTAACAAATACTTATTCTTTAAAGGATAGAAATGGTTGAAGACACTTAAATACTTTTCAGAAGGCTCTACCAGTAACTTTCAAAGTAAATGCAGTGTGCTGTAGTATGCAGAACACTTAAGTACCATTATTTAACATTACATATTATATTTAATATTTTTATATATTTTGTTATTTCATATCATATTGAATTAAGCACTTAATACACAGAATGTTCCAAGTACTTTGAGGTAGAAGATCATACTTCATAAATGCCAGCATTTATTGTTAAATCAGTGGGGTTGGAATTTTAGTGCTTTGTTTCCAATGAGTGATTCCGGGTTTTTCTTCTCACCACAAACCCTTGTTTTCCAATTCCTTGTTTCAAATCAATTCCCAGGACACTTTATGCCCCACAACTACTGCCTAATGTGACAAATCTTTACAGCAAAATGAGAGGACAATACAAATACTCAGAACTGAAGACTCAGTTTGCCAACCTGGTGACTTTGTCACCGTGGAAAGAGCACGGTTTCTCGTACATGTCCAAGAACTGCCCCAGAAAAATACAGGAAATAGAACTGGCATTCTGAAAATAAAGTATAAAATTGCAGCAAACATCCAATAAATTGCATCTACGAGGGTTTTGTCTTCTAGCACAGCATGAGACAGATTTCTTCCCTTAAACTGAAGTCAGCAGTGAAGTGTACATAATCATCTGTGTATTTATACCTGCAAAGTTAAGGGGAATATTTATGGTTTTGACCCTCACTTCAGGTCAGAAAACACATTAGGAATTACGCTTGTGACTTGACCCTCTCGCTATCAACAGGCTTCTGACAAATAAAGGGAATGCTAATTAGCCCCGTATCTGTAAAATTAGGAAGATACGAGGACTGCAAAGAGAGCGTCTTACAGAGGAAGACTTCAAGAACAAAATACGTGCGGGTTAGGAAAGGAGGTTGCGAGAAGACCTAATTACGGCCGAGAAACCCCCGGGGGGGCCCTTTTCCCAAGCAGCAGGTAGCAAGCTGTTCGAAATACGCCATAAGGCCAAGGCCCCGAGGCATCCGCTGAAACTGAAGGAAGGGGTAGCTCGGCTGGGAGCAGGGTGGCTGGAGGGACCGGCCGAGCCCTCCACCACCATCGCTCCGGGGTCCCGTGCCAAAAAAAACGCCTCCCGGCAGCCGGGAGCCGGCACCCCGGAGCCCGCCGCGCCTCCGGGCAGCCGCCGCGGGGCTCCCGGCCGGCTCCGCGGCCCCGCACCGCCACCTCCTGGGGGAGGCAGAGCCCCGGGGCCCGCACCCCTAAAATCCCGAAAGCAGGGCCGGCCTCCCCCCGCCCCGGGAAAGGTTGGAAGAGAGAGCAGAGGGCTGTAGCTAGGTGCTGGAGACGAGCTGGACGGCTGAGGTTCAAACTCGCCCCACCGAGGGCCAGGTTGACTCATGCTGTTCCCTCCCTCGGGAGGGCTGGGAAACGTGATTTTGCAGCCCGATTTTCCATTTTCAATCGCGGGAGCAGGTTTTTCAAAATATTATGAGGGAGTGCATTAAAGACGCCCATCTAGGATTACACCAAGTCCCACATGTGCATTAAATGTGATGTAGTTAGTTTTGAAAGCTTTTTCTGGGATTGGTGGGTGAGATTTTTGGGGGGGGTTGTTTTTAACATTTTCTAGATAAACACATACTCTGTGGTAATAATGAATAATTAATCATTATCAAAACATATTCCATTGTGCAGCAAAAATAAACGTTGAAAAGTATCTCAGCATCAACAAATAACACTAGCAAGCTCCCTGTTCTTTGTGTAACATGATACTGCACTGAGAACACAGCAGACTCATATTTTAGCATCAAAAAAAAAATAATCTTACTTTTGTGTAATAGATTTCCATTGTACTAAGTGGCATCCAAAAAAGTGCGAAACAAGTATATGACAAGCCTACCCATATTGGCAGTTGAGGAGTCAACAAAGCATTTTCAAGCCTCCTCCCTGCAGCCCTCACCTTCTAACTAATGGTCTGTAGTACATCTTATTTATTTTAGGGAAGCCACTGTTGTCTTGCCCCCCTGCAGTACAGACCCGTGAGCATCAGGCTGCCCAGGTAGCCTGATAAGCAGTTAGCTACAAACAGGCATGTGCAGAAAGCAATGGCTGGCGGAGGCCTAGCCATGTCGCTCACAGTTGAAGAACAGACACAAAATTGTCTTGCATCAGTAGTACCTGGAACATTGATCCTGCTGCCAGCAACTGAGAAGGATGCACGAGTGAGACACTAATCTTAAATCACTCCTCCCCCTCATATACGAGGAGCAGACCAGCACCACAGACCTAGGCTTGCCTTCTGCTCATCTTTTTGATCTCCACCTTGCAAGTGGAAATCTGTGGCTGCTTTAATTACTCCATTCCACATCCTGATTGGCTTGCTCTGATCTCCTTGCCACCAGGTTTTCCTGACTGCTGATCAATTTAACCTTTCAAGCGCTGTTTGCACAAAACAAAAATAGATTGTAAATACATGGCAGCCTGAGCACCACCAGGAAACAGAACTTTCTTCCACCTGGCTGATTTTGTTTGCTTTGGAAGTTGCCCTTTCACCTGGCAGAAATGACAATCCGCATCAAGAGACAGATGCAAAACTGTTCCTCCAATTATATAATCACTGCAGCTGATAAGGAGGGAGCAGAATTTGGGTTGCCATAGCGTTGGCATATCGCTATGGAGGCTGAGCTCTTCGTCCACTTTATCAGCTCCGGTCCGGGAGGAGCAGCCCGGTGGCGGCTGCATGTGCTGCGGGCTTGCTCCCGCCTGGCAGGAGCACTCTGCATCGGGGGCCGCTTCCTCCTTTCCCCTCCCACCTCCTAGCCATAGAGCGGCTATGGTGGGAGTGCCGGGCATGGGGTTTTTCGTTTTAATCTCTATTTAACTGGAGGGGGGGGACACGGTCTCGTTCGCGGGCAGCCGAGGTGGCCCCGGCGGCGGGGAGAGGCTGCCCGGGAGGGAAGGGCCGGGGGCGGCGAGGGGGCAGCTGGCCGCGGAGGAAGGGGGTCCCTATGGGATGAGGGGGGCTCGATGGGATGGGGTGGGGGCCCGGCGCCCCATTCCGTCTGGAGGGAGGGGAGGAGATGGCTCTGGCGGCTCCGCAACACCGCCGTGGGAGTGCGGGCAGGGCTGGCGGAGAGGGGAGGGGGCGAGGGCACGCAGGTAGCTAGCGGGATAAAAATAACTTCAGGAACAGCAGGTCGAGGTTGGGCGGAGGAGGGTGGCGGGGAGGCTCCCGGAGTTTGGACAAACAAAGTTGTACTACGGGGAATAGCCGGCGACGGTGCCGAGGAGCGGCGGCGCGGGTCGGGGTCCATGATGCGGGCGGCGCTGAGCGGAGCCGGGCGAGCAGAGCCCAACTCCCATCCCCATCCTGCCGCTACGTGCGGGTGGATGCGGCCGAGGAGATAATTCCCCCTTCCCCTCCCCTTTCGGGCCAGGGATTAGACGCGGCGTGAGAGCGGGGAAGGGCTCCTCGGGAAGCCGGACCCCGACGGCTGCGCCCCGAGTTCGCCTTCCCCCGGCGCGGCGGGGCGAGGGGCTCCGCGGCTGCACTTCGCCTCCGGCCCCGGCTCACCGCCGCCCCTGCTCGCCCCTCTCCTCCCGGAGACGACGGCGGAGCCTGGAAGCAACTTTTCTTCGGCCCGGTGACACGGCCGCCCCCCGAGGGGCCGCGGGGGGACGGGGGGCGAGGGCTGTCCTCTGCCCGCCCCGCGCCTGCCGCCGGCGGGGGGAACGGGGCCGAAGCGAAAAAGATCACGGACAAAGGGTAAGGGGAGAGATGGGCGGCTGGAGCCTCCGAGGTGGATGGATCTCGGGCTTACCTTGATGGTTTTCTTCGGGAATGTACATCCTCTTGTTTTCATTGACCATTTAAAAACGAGTCCAGATTAATCCCTCCGAAAATCGGCTTGGTAAAATTCAAGGAAGAATGGAGCTGCAGAATTTCCCCTTTTATTATTACCTGATTCCCATTATTGCATCAAACACCAAAAACTGATCCTTTCCACTACTGCCTCCTTTAGTGAAATTGCAATGCATCCTCAGTACATCCGGGCCCCTTCCAAGAATTTAGCACAGCACCTCTGGCTGTTAAACCATAAAAAAAGAACAGGAAGGGGGGAAACGGGAGAGAGGGGGGGGGGCGAGGGGGGGGGAAAGAAAGAAAAGAAAACCCGAAAGCATCCAGGACAAGCCTCTGAGGGTTAAATGTCTTTTTAAAATCCACCAACTACCAGAGTAAGAAAAGGAGGAGGGGAGAAAAAAAAAAAAAAAAAAGAGAGATGTTCAAACGCTGCTGCTCCTCCTCTTCAAAGCCATTCTGAGCGCGTTGTGTTGGCAGGGAGCTGTTTCTGCAGAGGAAGAGAGCACAGTCCCAGCCCCTTACTCCCTCCCTCCCTCCCTCTCCCCCTGCCTGCCTCCCTCCCTCCCTCCCTCCCTCCCCGCTGCCTGCTCGCCGCCTCCCGCCGGCAGACAGCCGCGCTGAACGCTTCCAGATGTTCCAGCTGCGGGCAGCCACCACCACCACCGCCCCCCCCCCCCCCCCCCAAACACCGCCACCCCCTTCCCAAAATTGCGCGCAGCCCGCGCTCACCGCCACAGACGTGACGTCACGGGGCGAGCCGGGGGACAGCGGAGGGGAGCGGGGCCGCGGCGACACCCGGCGACACCCGGCGACACGGCGGCGACACCGACACCGCCCCCCCCCCGGCCCCGCTGCCGGGCGCCGCTGCGAGGACGGCGCGACCCCCGGCAGGCGGCAGCGGGAGGGCACGGGGAGATGCCCAGAGGATGCGCAGATGTTGGAGGAGATTAAGCAGGGGAGGATTTGCACAAGCCGCGCTGGAAGCACCCAAGCGAGCTCCGTTATCCCTATCGCCGCGCCTGGAGCCCCCGCAGGGAGCCAAGAGGACTTCTCAGCCCATTGCGGCAACGGGGCTGGGATCAGAGGTGCCACGTTCAGGAGAGATGCAGGGCTCGCCGCCCAAGAAGCCAAGTGCGCTCCAAGTCCCCCAAGGGTCACCATCCGGGGTGTCACATCACCTGCAGGGCCCAGGCTATCGCCTTCTGGGTCAAGGGAGCAGCTCTCAGAGCCTTCAAGCACCCAGGACCCCGTCTGCAGCTTGACACTGGGGTTCTCCCCCTGCTCGCGGTCTCCTCTCCCACCTACATGACAAACAGAGCGTTTCTCTCCAAGTGTTGCAAAGGTGGCAATACCTCTACAAGAGTCGCCTAAGAACGAGCTTAGCACCTTCCCTATGACTGGACTTCAGTGGGATTTATCAAATATCCATCTCTTTGTGAAGCTTTTTGCCCCATCACTTCGAAGTAGCTGTCTCGCAGATGAAACTCAAAAAAAATAGGAAACAGCAACACCTAACGCAGCTAGCCAAAGCGGCGAGAACACACATCCACTTGGAACTACAAGAGAAACGGGAATAGGTGGAAAGCACTTACCAAGAACTGGATGCAGCCAAAGCACTTGTCCTAAAAAGAGGCCATTTCTGTTCCTAATAACCACTGGCCATCACAACTTCTCCTTTACATGGTATCCAAAAGGTAATTTGGCAACAACACATTACCATTGACAGCACATAGAGACGCGGCTTTGTTTCTGACGGAGGAGGAAGAGTTCCTGCAAGCAATTAAAATCCTCTGTCCTCTATTGCCTAGTTTTTCTCTCGTAATGTCACATGCACTTACTCCGTTTAACTTAGAGGATCAGGCAAGATCACAGCTAGAGGTGGAACAGCAATATATTGGATTTCATTTTCAATTCTGGTTGCCTTTTTCTTGTTAAAAAAAAAAAAAAAAGAGAGTCCTCCCTTCACCATTACAGGACAGCAAATCCATCCCTATCTAAATTTGCTGTGTAAATACACATTTTATTTTTCTCCTTGTGAACAGGAATTCTTGCCATTTTGAATTGTGCTAATTCCATTTTTTTCAAGCCATGAGTCAACCAAGAGTTATATGATTCACCCTTGCATGGACATAATCTCTGGGGAAGTAATCAAGTTCACGCTGATCACTCTTGCACAGAAATCAAACACCAGTGGGGCACTTGTAAATACATATAAATATATCCATATATATTTTTGCCCTCCTTAGGTCACATTCTCAGCTAGCTAAGGATTTATATACTGCATTAGTTAAACAGTTAACATCCACATAGCCTTGCCTTATGCCAGCTCACATACGTATGCAGCCACATACACAAGCTGTCCCTGCCACCTACAAATCTTTTTCTCCAGTCTTTCTCCCTCTCTCTGCCAAGCTCCCACAATGGGACACAGTTGGGCCAGTTACCAAAAATCAAATCCAGAAAAAAAATAGAACAAGAAACAAGAATATTAGCTAGCATTAATTTCTTCAGCATAAATAAAATTGTACTACAACCTGAGGTTTCCTTACTCAGCATTTCTGATGCAAATAATTTTCTATATGGAGAAGCAGAACGAAACTTCAGGATTAAGATGGATCCTGCTACTGAAGGAGAATCAGGTGACATAACAGCAAACATCATACCTTCCCCTAAAGCATTGGTACTGTCAAAGTACACTAAGAAGTAGTTCATGAAAACAGGTTTGGTAAAGAGGAGGCATTTGAAGTAAAAGGTGCTTGTAAGATTTTTCTTAACATATTACTGAAATTCACATTTAATAATAATTCTCACCGGAGATAACCCAAGGCTTTTTCCTCTGCAGAAAATGGGAAAAGTCAATTGGCCTAAAATTTGTTTCTTTCCATTTTTTCCTAGAAATAGTGCAGAAAGGATTTAATTAGATGCCAGAGCAACAGCTCAGAGACTTCAGAGAAGACAACAGCCCTCCCCAGCACGGCCTCTGATTCCCGAGTTTTCTGACTGGGTGTGTTTGGGGCCAGGACTCCAAAGGCAGAGCACACAGCCTAAGCAAGTCAGCAGCTTTCCTTTTGCTTTTGGAGGACTGATGCTCTAAAAAGGGTTTAAGGCCTTCTGAAGGGGAAGCACGCTTAGCCCTCATCAGTCACATCCAGCCCAAAGACGGGTATACACGTGAGAGAGAGATCTTAAAAAATTAAGAAATAATACTTCTTTCAGTATACATGCAAAAAAAAATGATCTTAGTCCTTGCCTGATAAGGCAACCAAGAGACTTAGAGGTAGGATGGGTAGAGTAATGATCAGACACAAAGGTGTCTCACACCAGCCTGCATCTGTGCTCTTGGACTTCCCCTGCACCTAGGTTGGAGAAGCCATCCAATGCACGTTTGGCCTTAGGCCAGCTGTAAAGCAGAGATACTGGTTCTCTGACCCACAAGAATGCTAGGAGGAGAATTGTTCTGCAATTGAGAACAATAAGAATAAGGGCCATATAAAGCACCAAGACAGAGATTTCTGAGAAATATCTATTTAAAGTTACAAAGTGTCAGAGATGATTTGTAGAGTCATGATGTTCACATGCAGCAGGCCATTCCACACATGAGGAATTTTTTTTTGTTCTGTGTACAATGCAGCACTCCTTCCCTCTTAACCAGCCATATATAGAGCACACTAGGCACAACAGCTTCTTCAAAATCCAGCATCAGAAGCCACATCCATCTTCAGAACAGAAATTGCCCAAACAAGTTGCGGATAAAAACATCTTGAAGTGAAAAGGAAGAGCTCCTGTCTTGCTCATATTTAAAGCTGGGGCTAGAAGCTTTATGGAATGAATATGAAATGAATGGGATGAATACAAACAAGAATGTATAACACCTCTGCATTGAGCTGCTTTTTTTATTTACAAAATTATTTGAAAGGCTCTTTTCAGCAGTCTCAGTGCTTTTAAAATGATCTAGGGTTTTCATTGGACCTGCATAAGTTATGCAGGCTCCAAAATTGCAATATGTTTACTCTATTTTGGCAGTTGTGCCTGTTATTATAAAATAAGAAGGTAAACGATTCAAGAGTAGAAAAGAAGTGTATTTATCCCCAGAAATAGTGTTAAGGCTTACAATACAAATGTGATTATTTCACATCTGAAGGGCCAGCTCAGAGAAACAGTACCAGAGATCTCCACTGCCTTGCTGAACATGATCCCTCCCCCCCCTGCCACACACACACACAGGTTTAAGGTTTTGCACGTCCACCAACTAACAGAGATTGCTTCCCTGAAGAATCAGCACTTTCTTGCACTGAAAGTGATGGGATTTTTTGATCACCAGTATAAATAGATGGGATACAAACTCAGTGCAATCTTTCCAAAGACACTGACCTTCCTTTTTTCAAAATCACATTCACATCTATGAGTGTGGATTTCTAAAAATATTATTTACCTGACAATTTTGTTTTAGTGGCTTAATTTTAATTGGAATGCAAGCAATTGGTAGTCTTGTCTAGGGGTATTTCAAAGTGCGATCAGGAAACTGGAGACCTTCTGAAACTACCAGCTAGCTAAAACAGGGAATTTCCTCCAGAAAAAAAAAATAAATAAAATAATATATATATACACACACACGGGGATAGAAGAGAAAAGGAAGGTTTATGATCAAGATTTGTAGATGATTTCATTTCTTAAAGTCTGGAACAGGGCCATATGCACAGGATTTTTTGATGTTTTGTAGTCAGAAACATTGATTTTCAAAGGCAACTTGGAAAACCTAACCATATCTTTCATATTGAAGTTTTAGTCATTAGCTTTTATATGTACATTAAAATGTCAACAAGCAACAACAAAATGTTTAAAGGAAAGTTTATCAGCATATTGGTATGGTCTAAGGCCTAGTAGTGGTAAACAACAGAAACTACTAAACCTAAGGGGGAATAAAGGAAAGAATAAAAACATTGGTAGCTGGATGGGAAAGTTGCTAATAATTAGAATAAATTCTCATTAGACACAGAAGAGGGGTAAGTAGAAAATAAGTAGAAATTGAGGATCTTTAGGCAGGTTTTAATTTTCTAGACTGCAGAAGGTTCTAGAAAATAAGTGGGATATCTAAAAGTAGGATTTTATTCAAATCATGTGAGCTATCTTAGTTTTCAGCTGTAACCCATACAGATGATTTCAGTAGGTTTTGGCAGTGGTGATTTTTTAATTCCAATTGCAGGAATGAAAGAACTTGCCATTTATCATTGTAAATAGGTGATTAGTCTTTAATGATTACTGGGTAGCATTTAATGAATTCACGGACCAATTTGAAGTGTAGCAGCAAACAAATGCTTAAGTACACTGAAACAACAGGAGACATTTATCCCAAGTAAAATGTAAATGCATTGCGTTTCTCAGATTTGAGAATTTGTGACAGTTTTCATGACTCTGTAAGGTTAGATTCATTATGCCATGGTCATCACAGACATCTGGCCATAGCACTAATTAGTGACTAAGGCAGGTCTAACAGCTCCTCAGAATTTTGATACAGAAGTCATCCCTG